TCGTTTCAGAACTTTACAGAACTTATCAAGATTATTCTTGTGGTGTTCTAACTTGACTTATCATTCTCGTTCTTAATCGTTCGAGGGTGTGGCGTCAACCAACTTTATACCTCTGGTTCTTGTTGCGTCATAGACAACGGGTCAAGGTTTTTTTTACCTTTGGTTCTTGTTGCGACATAAACAACAGGTCAAGGTCCTATTATAAATCTGATTTAGCTTTCCTGAGTTTAAAAATCCCTTGTCGTGCTGTGGGTCTCATTGTTCTCTTTGGGGTTCCCATCACTTGCTTTGCATATTGCTCTGTTCTTCGCTCAATGTTGAGTCTTGCCTTCTTGGGAATCTGCCTCACAAAATCAGCTTTCTTTTTGCCATCTAAATTAACGTGCTCAGACATCGATAAAGGAGATAAATCCAATGGAGTTAACGGATAAAACCCATACACAATTTCAAAGGGTGAAAATTTATTAGCAGAATGAATAGGACAATTATAAGTAAATTCAACATGTGGCAAAACAATCTTCCCAAGTTATAATGTTCTTACTAATGTCCCTCAACATAGCTGACAGTCCTATTTACTACTTCGGTTAGAACATCAGTTTGTGGGTGACAGGTGGTAGAAAACAATAGTTTAGTACCTAACTTACTCCACAAAGTCTTCCAAAAGTAGCTCAAAAACTTTGCATCTCTATTTGAAACAATTGTTCTAGGCATACCATGTAATCTCACAATCTCCCTAAAGAACAAATCAGCAATATGTGAAGCATCATCTATGATGAGAAACCCAAGGAGAACAATGAGACCCACAGCACAACAAGGGATTTCTAAACTTCAGGAAAGTTAAATCAGGTTTATAATAGGACCTTGACCCGTTATTTATGTCGCAACAAGAACCAAAGGTAAAAAAACCATAACCCGTTGTTTATGACGCAACAAGAACCAAAGGTAAAAACCTTGACCCGTTGTCTATGACGCAACAAGAACAGAGGTATAAAGTTAGTTGACGCCACACCCTCGAATGATTAAGAACAAGAATGATAAGTCAGGTTAGAACGCCACAAGAATAATCTTAATAAGTTCTGTAAAGTTCTGAAACGAACCAAAGAGAAAAGTCTCTCAAAAACTCACATTCAATAGCTGCCCCCAATTAGGATTACAAGCCCTTTAAATAGGGAAAAGTAATTTTAATCAGAATAGGAAACTAGCACCCTAAGCCCTAATCCTAATAACCACGAATTAGACCTCAAATAAATGAATCCTCAGCCCAAAATAATACAAAAAACGTGAAAATCACTGAAAGTGACCTAAAGTAACATGAAATATTAGTTTGTTACAAATTGCGACAAAATTGTGGGATTTTGACACAAACTGTGTAATTTAGCACAAATGACCTCAATTAAGCTTCACTTGAATCTGAATGATGTTTACCATGCCTTGATAATCATCCAAGCTTCGATTTACTTGTTGCATGTTGTTATCAACCCAGATCTGCTCAATAAGGCCATTTAAAGCTTCTCGCATCTTCCTAACTCTAGCTCTCATGACTAGACCTCCTGGAATGTGTAATGGATCTCTTGACGTGGTACATGTGGGGTCATCTTGATTCCCATCATTCCCTCTCTCCTCAAAAGGATTTGTCCTCAAATCATCACCTACACCAAAAGGAGAAAGATCAGGAACATTAAAAGTAGCACTAACATTATACTCACTAGGAAGCTCCAACTTGTATGCGTTGTCGTTTATCCTTGCCATCACTTGAAATGGTCTATCGCCTCTTGGTTGCAACTTAGAACACCTTTGTTCAGGGAATCGCTCATTCCGCATATGCACCCACACCCAATCTTCAGGTTCGAACACAACTTTCTTGTGTCTTTTGTTGGCTGGATTTGCATATTACTCAGTTCGTCGCTTTATGTTTTGTCGCACCCTCTCATGTAGTTGCTTAACCACTTCAGCTTTCTTATTCCCATCCAAACTAGCTTGTTCATCAATGGGTAATGGCAATAAATCCAGAGGGGTGAGTGGATTAAAACCATACACAACTTCAAATGGTGAACAGTTAGTTGCTGAATGGACGCTTCAATTATAAGCAAATTCAACATGCGGCAAACATTCTTCCCAATTCTTCAAGTTTTTTTGAATAATAGAACACAATAAGGCTGAAACCGTCCTATTAACCACTTCTGTTTGTCCATCAATTTGTGGATGACAAGTAATCGAAAACAATAGCTTAGTTCCCAACTTTCCCCACAAGGTCTTCCAAAAGCAACTCAAGAGCTTAACATCATGATCCGAAACAATAGTTCTTAGACAACCATGTAAACGAAGAACCTCCTTGAAGAACAGATCAGCAATATTGGTTGCATCATCGGTTTTATGACCTGGAATGAAGTGTGCCATTTTTGAGAACCTGTCAACAACAACAAAAATAGAATCGTGGCCTCGTTTTGACCTTGGTAAGCCCAAAACAAAATCCATAGATATAAACCCAAGGTTCAGTAGGTCCATTAAGGGAGTATACAAACCATGTGGTAACACTCTAGATTTTGCTTGTTTACATGTTACACACCTTTTACACATCCTTTCAACATCGTGTTTCATATGTGGCCAAAAGAAGTGATCGTTCAGAATATCTAAAGTTTTCCTAACTCCAAAATGTCCCATTAAGCCACCCGCATGTGATTCCCTTATTACAATTCTCTTAATGAACAGTTAGGCACACATAATCGATTTTCTCTAAATAAGAACCCTTCATGCCTGTAAAACTTATCAGAAGCTGCCTTCTCACATGCATTAAATGATGAGAACCCCAAAGAGAACAATGAGACCCACAGCACGACAAGGGATTTCTAAACTCTAGGAAAGCTAAATCAGGTTTATAATAGGACCTTGACCCGTTGTTTATGTCGCAACAAGAACCAAAGGTAAAAACCTTGACCCGTTGTCTATGACGCAACAAGAACCAGAGGTATAAAGTTGGTTAACGCCACACCCTCGAACGATTAAGAACAAGAATGATAAGTCAGGTTAGAACGCCACAAGAATAATCTTGATAAGTTCTGTAAAGTTCTGTAAAGTCTCTCAAAATCTCAGATTCAATCGCCTCCCCCAATTAGGGTTACAAGCCCTTTAAATAGGGAAAAGTAATTCTAATCAGAATAGGAAACTAACACCCTAAGCCCTAATCCTAATAACCACGAATTGGGCCTCAAATAAATGAATGTTCAGCCCAAAATAATATAGAAAACGTGGAATTCACTGAAAGTAACCTAGAGTAACATGAAATATCAGTTTGTTACAAATTGCGACATAATTGCGGGATTTTGACGTAAACTGTGTAATTTAGCATAAACGACCTTAATTAAGCTTCTCTTGAATCTGAATGATGTTTACTATGCCTTGATAATCATCCAAGCTTTGATTTACTTGTTGCATGTTGTTATCAACCCAGATCTGCTCAATAAGGGCACTTAAAGCTTCTCGCATCTTCCTAGCTCTAGCTCTCATGACTGGACCTCCTGGAATGTGTAATGGATCTCTTGACGTGGTACATGTGGGGTCATCTTGATTCCCATCATTCCCTTTCTCAAAAGGATTTGTCCTCAAATCGTCACCTACATCAAAAGGAGAAAGATCAGGAACATTAAAAGTAGCACTAACATTATACTCACCAGGAAGCTCCAACTTGTATGCATTGTCGTTTATCCTTGCAATCACTTGAAATGGTCCATTGCCTCTTGGTTGCAACTTAGAACGCCTTTGTGCAGGGAATCGCTCTTTCCGCACATGCACCCAAACCCAATCTCCAGGTCAAACACAACTCTCTTGCGCCCTTTGTTGGCTTGATTTGCATATTGCTGAGTTCGTTGCTCTATGTTTTGTTGCACCCTCTCATGTGGCTTAACCACTTCAGCTTTCTTTTTCTCATCCAAACTAGCTTGTTCATCAATAGGTAATGGCAATAAATCCAAAGGAGTGAGTGGATTCTCTAGTTAGTTGCTGAATGGATGCTCCAGTTATAAGCAAATTCAACATGTGGCAAACACTCTTCCCAATTCTTCAAGTTCTTCTGAATAATAGATAGCAATAAGGTTGACAACGTCCTACTAACCACTTTTGTTTGTCCATCAGCTGAAACAAAATACCCTAAAAAGACAATCTGATTTGTGCAAAATGAATACTTTTTAAGGTTAGCAAACAGTTTTTCTTTTCTCAGAACCTCAAGTATCATTTGCAAATGCTCAATACGATCAGTTAAACTCTTACTACATATTAGAATGTCATCAAAATAAACAACCACAAATTTGCCAATGAAAGCACGTAAAACATGATTCATTAATCGCATGAATGTACTAGGTGCATTAGTTAATCCAAATAGCATAACTAACCACTCATATAAACCATGTTTCATTTTAAAGGCTGTTTTCCATTCATCACCTTTATCCTAATCTGATGATACCCACTTTTTAAATCAATTTTAGTGAATAAGCAAGAACCATGCAGTTCATCTAACATGTCATCTAATCTAGGAATAGGGTGACGATACTTTACAGTGATTTTGTTGACAGCACGACAATCAACGCACATACGCCAAGTCCCATCCTTCTTAGGCACAAGTAGCACTGGAACTGCACATGGACTCATGCTTTCTCTCACATGCCCCTTCTTCATGAGTTCTTCAACCTACCTTTGAAGTTCTTTTGTCTCATTGGGGTTGCTTCGATATGCTAGTCGGTTTGGAATTGTTGCACCTAGAATGAAGTCAATCTGATGCTCAATTCCTCTTATTGGTGGTAAACCATTAGGTGATGGGAATCAAGACGACAGCATATCTACTACGTCATGTGATCCATTACACACCCAAGGAGGTCCAGTCACGCGAGCCAGAGCTAAGAAGATGCGTGAAGCTTTAAATGGCCTTATTGAGCAGATCTGGGTTGAAAACAACATACAACAAGCAAATCGAAGCTTGGATGATTATCAAGGCATGATAAACATCATTCAGGTTCAAGAGAAGCTTAATTGAGGTCATTTATGGTAAATTACC